TTTTTTTTTCAAATACAAACACATCTTAATTCAACTTTGAATGATGTTCGTTCATCGAACCTTGCACTTTCATCCTTTGAAAGAGTTTATTAGCAAAGAAATAAAAAAGGTGAGAAAATACCTTTCCAATGATATCTCACAAGTCTAAATCGGAAGAGTTTAGGTTCAGTTATTCAAGTTTTTCTTATACCAATCTTTGAAAAAAGTTAAAAAACTGCATCAAAAATCTCATTATTACGATTCCGTTCAAAATTTTTTTTTTATTATTTTTTAATATTTTTATGTAAATTTTGTAAGCTTAAATCGTTTTGTTGTTTGAGGGGATTTGTTCAAAGAACATCTTTAAGAAACTATTTTTATTCTTAAAAAACTCCATTTTTGGTGGATTTTCAAATCGATCCAGCTCGCTTAAATCTTAATATTTTTCCAAAATATTTTGGCGGACATCTTAAAATATAATAGATTTTATAATTCCAATGGAAAAACAGTAGCGATTTTTTTTTTGTATTGGGAGTGATGCAGTCTAATGTACATACATATGTACATATGTATGTACATAAGTTCGTTAGCCTTCCGTTTGGGTTATTGTGTGTCGTTCTTTTTGTTGATACGAATCGCAATCGAAAATTGCTTACATACATACATACGTATGTATGTAGGTATGTAGATATTTTGAGGCGCAGCAACGCACGCTGGGTACAGCTACTATACATGTAAATTAAAATAAAATGGAGTAAATCAATGTACATATGTACATATTTATTCAAGTTCATTGCATCCCGAATCCATTGAGAGAAAATCACATGTGCCAAAATTTCGGCGAAATTTACAATCGATTGCCCTCTTTCATCTTTCATCTTTCATTCAATTTAATTTTCATCAATTTGATAATAAGTTTCTTTTTAATTACTCGTATTTTTATATTGCATTTGCCAATTTTGCTTCCAATCAAAGCTTTTGAAAAATGGCACTGATGGTAGAAGAAAAATATCTATGTATGTACATTAGGGTGCTTTTTTGAATGATGGGTTTTAGCTACAAAAAATTATAAATGAAAAAATTTGTAGGAAATTCAATTTCCTACAAAGAATTTCAGAACACCAAATGTTAATATTAAGGGTTCAGGGATTTGTTTAGGTGTTTTCCACAAAATTTCGAGGTAGGAGTAAAAAAAACAATAGTCGCAAAAAAGCACCCTAATGTTCATACGTATGAAGTATACTTACATATATTTTTTGTGAGGTTGTTTAACCTTAATTTATATAATTGTAGAGTGTTTGAAGGCCATTATAAATCTGTAGAATTATTAAATGTCAAATTATGCTTAGTGGGGGTTTAAATACACTGGCGCACAAAAAAAATGTATTGTACCTTCAACTAAAACCACTTAGCCACATGTATTTCGACCCGCTTAATTCGAATCTGAGGTCGGTTTGACTAGTACCTACATCCTCAAAATCTCGAGGGAATTGCAGTTTGTTGCCCTTTTTGCGGTTTTTCGCACCGGTTGAGTGCCGGTGATACCGATCAGTCCCTAACATTGATACGACAGTCGAGTCTACGTAATCGGAACGACCCAGATTTATATCTGGGGAATTGGTATGCTTTATAACAACAATAGCAACAGCCAAACATATTAAAAAATTTAAGCGTAGTTATTTTCCCAAATTCCAATCAATTTACTTCTTTTCAAGATTTTATTGTTAGTATAAATTTTTAAAAAAATTAGCGTCCTTAAATTTCAAAATATCGAAGTTTCAAGCATTTCTGAAATTTACCGCTATATGAAAAGTGGCCGTAATTTTAGACCGATTTAAATAATTTTCAGCGATTTTCTTTTATATGACAAGCGCAATAATCATACCGAATTTGGTACTTATTGGTCGAACGGTTAACGAGATACACATATGTATGTGGTCATAAGTGGGCGGTGCCACGCCCATTTTCCGAAATTTTATCATAAACGCATTTCTAGCTAAAGAGTTTTTACAAGTATTAATTTTGAATAAATTAGCTCCAGTATTCACTGATATATCGAAGATTTCGTATTTCTCTAAACACACACTTCAAGCTAGTAACGCTACTTCAGAAATAAGTTTTTCAATCTTTCGCCGGTTAAAATCATGATTGCGTAGTACCAGGCTGACAAAAAATTTCTGGGTATGAAGTTTTATAGCTAATTCAATTTCAGTACAGAAAGTGAACGTTTCGCGTTGATTGTTGTGCATTTTTTTGGTTGGAGACGTTTCGCATTTTCATCCACACAAAATACTTAAGTCCTAAAATATTCGTATTTTTATATCCAAAAATTCTTTATAAAACACTTTTTCCGAAAGCTATGCTGTTTGAGTATAACCATGTTACTTTTTTCCTTGTGTCGTCAATATAACCTTATTTGACAAGTGAACCAAAGTCGGTTTCTAGAAAAATGTTGGCTATGCATTTTTCTTAGTAGATCATCAAATTTTTAATAATTTTTTCGCTAACATTTCGAGCACATCTGCATGCTAATGGAAAATAAAAGTGTTTGTTATATTATTAAAAATCAAGGCGAACTCTTAGCCACTAGCAACTTTCACTTTATTATACTAAAATTTAATGATTAATAAAACTGCGTACACAAAATTTTTTTTATAGAAACAAAAAAAAAATAATAATTTTGGTGAAAATTTGTTTATAACATGTAATTTTTTTAATTTTTTCTCATTTTAGGAGAACCCTAAAATTGTTTTCAACTAGTTTTTATTATGTAACTGGATCAGGAGAATCTATTTTCCTCAAAATTACTAATTTCTTCACTTTGCGTTAAAAAAAATAATACAAACAAATAAAATAAAAAAATCTGGCTCAACAAATGGCCGCTTGCAAATTTTATTAGCTTTAATTAAAAATAATCAAATTGAGTGAAAAAGGAAGGCTCCAGTGAATTGTGAATACAAAATGCCAATTTTGAACCACTGTGCCGCGGCCATTATTACCGAAGTCGCGAAGGAAGGCANTTTTTTGCATAACTTTGTGCACAAATATGCTCGAGTAAAATAAAATACACACATTTTTACATATGCATAGAAATGTAAATAGGAGATGGCGTAATCACATAAACAATAGGTTATCGACGAATCAAAGAAAAATTTAAATTCAAAAATTGCACACATACATACATACATATATATGTATGTGTTATTCTCTCGTTCTGAAAGAAATTTGGTTAATTAATTGTTGATAAAGTTAATTGAATAAAAAATTTTATAGAAACAAGTACAAACATACATACAATAATATTAATGAGAAAATACTAAACGTTTTTGAAAATGTGTTTCTCATTCTCGGTGACACCTAATTGGCAAAATGCAAAGCTAAATACTGAAATGAAAGCCTTATTGATAACTTAAGAACACTAGTTCCACTAGTCGTTTCCTTTGGTAATTTAAAAAGTCTCTTGGTTATGCTATAAAATTCAAATTCATCACCAACAAAGAAAGCAATATCCAAGGTGACAAATGGTTGCAGTGCCAAATAAGAAGGCCAGTTAAATGCGGAACTTCCAGCCTTAAACCGGATCAGTTAAAAGGCAGTAAGAGCTCATCGTCATTGAGGGACAGCTATACTTGGCTTGTGCACTTGAACTTAGACATAAGTCAAATATAATTTGCAAAATAAAAATTCCTCTTAGGAAAATCGAGAAACCTTTGCGCATAGATTTGTCGCTTTGAAGAAGTCCAGTCTCCACGCTCGGATACACGCCAAGTCCGAAAGGCTGTAGGCCTCTATATAATCGAGAATTCTTTGGTAATGACTAAACGGGAAATGTGGTCAAGTTCCCAACAATTTTTAAGGTTATCTATAAATTTTTGGGAAATCCCGCATTTATATTTTTTGGACATTTTTTTTTTAACAAAAACCAACGGAATAAGACGAAATAGAAATTTAAAAACCAAAAAAAAGGAATAAGAAGTCCTATAAGATAAGTCCGTATCAGACGAATATGCATACACAAATACATAAGTATGTATGTACATACATATAAGCAAGGGAAGCAAAAAATAAGTATGCAGTATTGGTAATCAATGAGCGCGAGTTCTGCTACTCGTAGGAGTATGGAACGTCAAATCCTACCAACAAAAATTTGCTCTTTGACAACATAAGAATTTAATATGTACATAAAACCTTCTCTAAATAATATAAGACAGCCACTTGAAAGATAATGCAGTTCTATCTGCGAGGCCGCTGCATTGATCGCTCATGAGTATTAGGTGCATGTAGAACATACATACATACATACATACATATATATGTATGCAGATAGCTATACATTTACATATGTACATCTACGATGTGGCCGACGGCGACTACATCACAGCGCGGACGCCGATAATGTTAGGTCCGTTGTCCAAATACTGCAATTACGGTTGGTTGAAAGCGCAAAGCCATATTGAGGGCGGTGACGCCAACGTTTCCGATGACAAGCCAAGACGTCCGTTGCCTATTTCATAGATAACAACCATCAAAGTTTATATTTAGGTGTGGACATCGGGTATCCAGCACAGTTCCAATAGAATTGCCTTACAAGCGCGTTCCGTTTCGCAATAATTTGAAATTTACATTTTTCGCAGACGCTTAAAAGAAAATAAAACTCTAGGCTNTGTAGATATGTGCATCTACGATGTGGCCGATGGCGACTACATCACAGCGCGGACGCCGATAATGTTAGGTCCGTTGTCCAAATACTGCAATTACGGTTGGTTGAAAGCGCAAAGCCACATTGAGGGCGGTGACGCCAACGTTTCCGATGACAAGCCAAGACCTCCGTTGCCTATTTCATAGATAACAACCATCAAAGTTTATATTTAGGTGTGGACATCGGGTATCCAGCACAGTTCCAATAGAATTGCCTTACAAGCGCGTTCCGTTTCGCTATAATTTGAAATTTCCTCTTTTCGCAGTCGCTTAAAAGAAAATAAAACTCTAGGCTGAGGATTTCTCATAACCTAATACACAAATAGCGCCGAGCAGAACCCACAGCACAGGATGAAATTAGAAATACCAAACGAGCCACCACAATATCTCAATGAGCAATTTTTCAAGGCAGCCTTAGAGGATGGGCTGCGTGACATGCGTATCGATATAAAGAAAATCATATTCGCCGAATCGAATGGCGGTGGCGGTGAGAACTATTGCAGTAAAATATATCGTGCCAGGGCTTTGTACAGGAGTAGCAAACGTCAGTTGGATGAAGAGTTAGCGTTGATCGTGAAAAGTATAGCCATAACACCGGCTACACAGTTCCTGGAAGAATTGGCTGTTTATTTACGAGAGAAGATTTTCTATTTCGATGTACTTGGACGGCTGGAAGTGCTGATAGGCGATGGGTCTAAATTCGGACCTAAGTGAGTATAAGGATACGTGGTATAGTGAGGAAGTTTAAGTGAATATTTGAAGTGTCAAATAATGGAGAAAATGTGCTAAAGGATAAGTAGAGCCTAGTGAGAACTGCTGATGCTGTACGTATGTATTGGGGTTTGAAACTAAATAATTGGGGTATTCACAACAGTATCGTAAGTGTTGTTACGTACGCCGTAAACGGCTAAAATATAAAAGGGGGCTTGCAAAGTACCATTGTGGTCTCAAGACCTCTAATCATTTATTTAAAGTTCACGATATACAACAACACGACACTTACGACACTGTTGTGAATACCGCAAGTATAATTATGAAAATAGGAGTGGGCTATAAATAAGTAAATATCTAGTTTTATCCAACATTCTTTTGGTAAGTCCAGGAAATTTCAGAGGAGTAACATACGTTGAAAAGGGAATTCTAGTTTCAGTTACTAAACACTTTTTATTTAGCACTGACTGTTAATAAAAGTAATTTTCAGGTTTTGTAATCAAAACGAAGTCGTTAAACAGGCTTCGGCTTTTTGCCATATTCAGTTACATTTATTATTCTATGAAACCGACTTTAACAAATGATGACCGTCATTTATTCGAAAATACTCATTTTTCCCATTCTGTGCGGATAATCGACCAGCACCAAAAAAAAAAAATAAGTAAAATTTGATATGCAGCCTATTTACAAAACAATACCAATTGTAATTTGAAATCCTGTTTGATTTTAATATTAAATATATAAAATAATTATAATATTTAATATATAAAATAATTATTATTCTCTATTATACCTCTATTACGTAGGCCTGCATTTCCGATAATTTTCATAACCCGCTCTTTTGTGGTTTAATTTTATTGTAAATTTTTATTACATATTTTAACGTCGTTAGCCTGTCTCATATTCGGTGTTGTTTACAGCTGGCGCATTCGTATAGGTCCATAGAAAGTGCATAAACTTGATAGCAGTCATAAATACTTACAGTCAGTCAATAAAGTTTAGGTACAGCGATTTTTTTACAAAACGGGCAACTGATTTATAAATATTTTATTTTTCGCAAATTTTTTATAAAAATATGGTTAATTCTTCAACAAACCCCCAAACATCAGAGTTCCGAATCCTGTGCCAAATTAAAGAAAATTCGGCAAAATTTCGTTCAAATATTGCACTTTTTACTTACGCTCTTTAGAAAAGAGTTGAGTATGCAGTTTTATAGCCCATTCAATTTTAGTATAATAAAGTGCCAGATGCGGAAGCTAGGACTTACCATTTATTTTTGGCAAATTTTTTTGTTGAAGGTGTCGCACATTTTTTCCATGTAAAAAAATTTTCAATTACTATTTTATATGGATTAATTGGATGAATTTTCTTTAATTTTGCATAAGGTTTGTAACTCAGACTTTTAGGGTTTTTGTTGTAAAATTAACCATATTTTAATAACAATTTACCGAAAAATAATATATTTAAAAAATACTTGCCGGTATTGTTAAAAAAATTTGCTGTACCTAAACTTTATTGACTCACTGTAGTTGAATACTGCAACTTCTTTAAATTTACTATTATACTCGTAGTCGTACGATTATAATATTTTTATCACACATTTCAATAATATTATTCCAACTTATTTTCTTTCAGATGCTTCTACACAACACGGGAACCCATACAGACCATTGTTTTCGATGACCTCACCCAATATGGATATAAATTGGCCAGTCGGCAAAATGGTCTTGACGAGGTGCACTGTATAGTTATATTAAAAAAGTTGGGCAAATTTCATGCGACCTCCATGGTGTTGGTGGAAAAGGTTGGTATTTAATAATAAGTAGATTTGTATGTTCACAAATATATGTACATACTTACTTATATACATTACAAAGTGTATTTATACTAGACATAAATGTATATGAATACTATGGGCAAGGCTTCCTCAAGTGGGCGGGCCACGAATTTACGAAGATTAATATTTTTCAATGATATTCAGGCAACGCCGATTTTTGCAGTCGAAAAGTACACTGTAAATTTTGTTGCAAAATTCCAAATAGTTTTTTTTAATCAAGAGTTGGAAATTTTTGCAGTGTTTTGGAAATTTTTATTGTTTTTTTGAAAGTAAGTGTACGAAAGAAAAAATTTTTTTGGGTGCAGATTTAAAAAACATTAAACTATACAATGAAATTATTTGCGTTACAAAAATATTTTTTTTTTGCTTTTCAATATTTTTTTTTTAATGAAAAATTGAACATAAAGCAATTTCTGCGCCTCGTAGACGAATATTTTTACAACAACTTCTGTAATAAACATTTCTGCATTTATCTATGAAAAAATGCGTGCATTTCGATATAGTTTGGTCGGAATGAATTTTTATTTGCCAGCGTGCGGGCCCGGGCATACGCAATTCGAGCATGGGAAATAAATATAAGAAAATTATTGAAAAGCAATAAAAAAAATATTTTTGTAACGCAAATAGTTTTATTGCAACCAAAAAAAATTTTTCATTGGGACACTTACTTTCAAAAAAAAAGAAGAAAAGTCTCCAAAACTGCAAAATTTTTCAATTGTTGATGTAAAAAAAAAACTATTTGGAATTTTGCAACAAAATTTACACAGTGTACTTTTCGACTACAAAACTCGGCGCTGCCTGAATATCATTGAAAAATATTAATCTTGGTAAATTCGGGGCCCACTTGAGGAAGCCTTACCCTATATGTCTGTGTTCGTATGGAACAGTAGCTTATGTCGAAAGGCTGTCCTTAGTATAATGCGGCATTCGCAGCATACGATCGCGAATGACTCCCTGGTACCGAGTAGTTGAAGAACTAGTTTCGATACTAGCAAGTCAATATTTGTATTAAGTCTCACCAAAAAATGCCTTGTCGTTTAAAGAATAAAGGGAATGCCGCATTATACTAAAGCCAGCTTCCTACTACCACTACTCTAGTATTCCATACGAAGACAGATGTATACGTATAAGCATTTGAAATGTACTTTACCCCGAAGACATGAGACTTATCAAGAATTTTGTATACATTTTTCAATGCCGCATTATCTTCTGATTTCGGGACCATTTTGCATTGAGTACCTACATACGTATTAAGAAAAGTGATAAACAAAATAAGTAATACATTAATCGTTCATTGCTGCCAAATTTAATAAGCGTGCAATTTTAATTGGCTTTAATTGGCAATTACTTAATTGCGTTTCTAAAAAAAAAAAAAAAATATTTTTATATGCGCACAATCAGTATGTACCTTTGTGTGTGTTTCGTTACCTTAAGATATTTCCTGTCTGACAAATACAATTTAATATTCAAGAATATCAAAAATTATTAATCTCCAAACCTATCCTTCAATGTCAGCGAAGAGCCACAAAAGTGGTATAGATGCTAATGGTCTGGAATCGACTTTAAGCGTATTCCGTTTGTTTTGTTTTTTAATAATTGATAACCGTACATTTGGGTTTATAGTACTAGAGATGTACCGGGTATCCGGTAGATATCCAGAATCCGGCTTATCCAGCCGTTTTTCTGTTATCCGACTATCCGGCCGGATACTGGCTAAAATCCGGCCGGATTTCCGGATTTCAATTATAGAATATTCAATTTAAAAATGTTGTTCACTAGAGATCGGCCTTTTTCATATGATTCAATTGGTTTCTCCATGCTAACTGATCTATATTTTCGAATTAATTCACCATCAACTCAGTTTTTAGCTTTATTGATGTCAGAAAAAAACGAGTTTTGAAACGTGGGCGACAACTAGTTTGATAAAGCAGATAATCTGTTCATAAGTAAAACAAAAAAACATAATATCACAATATTGAGAAATTTTCAAAGGGCAGCAGTCTACCGGATATCCGATCCGGCTCTTATTTTCTATATGGTATCCGGAATCCGATTAACCGGCAAAATCTCTATCCGGCACATCCCTAGTTTATACATACATACATATATAGTCTTGAAATGTGGAGCTTTGACTGATCCAACAGTTATAACGGTGTTGTTAAAAATAAACATTGAGAGTTTAAGAGACATATCCTAGCCTTTAGCGATAACTACAAAAAAGCACATTCAGAAAAAAGCACATTAACTAATTGCGACCATCTGGATTATTCTCGAGCTCCTTTAAGCTATCTTTACAGCTGACTTAAGCCTAATTCTAATAAAAGCGAAACAGACTCTTAGAATGCGATCCTATGTCTCATCCTCTGTTCAGCGATTGCACAGGTTGTTAAGTAGTAGTCCCAATTGTTCAATGAGGGCAGATATCTAGCGAGTCATTCCGATTTTTTACGGCATCGGTTTCTCCTTTCAGGTCACTACTTGTCTCTTGGAATATCGACGAATCAAAATTTCTTCCTTGATCAGAGTGCAGTTCTCACAATCCAATTGTAGGTGAATACCTCCCTACAGTTTTACATGCAATACATCACGCAAGGTTTGTAATCCACACGACGATTGGCGATGACCAACCCATTGGGACCTCTGCTGATTTTCTCCAGAGTCTTCATGATTCTCAGGTGTCCTCCACGGAGGCCATTGTGGAATTTCCCATATCCTGAGCAAGCAACTAGATATTAACTTTAAGCTATTACATTGTGTCAAGTATGCTTTTACGATCGGCTGCCATTTCCACTTTAGTCAAAAAGCTCAATCAACTACCTGCGACGCCTCCTATGGCCTAGCCACTAGCATCCGTATTCAAAATAAACGTTGTACCTAGAACCGAATATACCAGCCAGTATAGGCGCAGTACATATTCTTCAGAGCTTCGAAACCCTCCCCCTGCTCTTTGTTCCACTCGAAAGCTCAAGTTTTGCTAGTAAGCTCATGGAAAAATCGGCTAAAGTAAGTATATATCCCAAGACAACTTCTTAGTCCGTGAAAATTCCTAGGTTTTGGCCAATCTTTTACTGCTTCTATCTTCTCCTCAGCAGCGCAGACGCTTTAAGTCGTCATTTTATGTCCTAAGCAATTCACCTCCATCTTGGACAATGAGTACTTTTTACCATAGTTTAAGACCAGCGGCAACTATCGTCTGGAAAACGTCTTCCAAATTCCACAGGTGTTGCTCGAGGCGTTAACCCCATACGATGAGGTCGTCTACGTTTCCCAATTTAGTCCCATAAGCAAATGATCCATACGTTTTTCAAAGGTGACAGGCCTCTTTGCATCAGACAAAGTGTCCAGACTACATATCGTCGCATCTTTAAATTTCCGGGGCCCTAGTGTAGCTCCTCTAGGAAGACTGATTGCTGACTTCAACTCATTAAGTATTCGTATTTGAATCCAGTAAGTATGTGGTTCATCTTCCTCATCTTTACGCTGTATTGTTGAGTCTGTGTGAATCTGTGCAGCAATTGCGCGTAAAGTGACGTGATTTGTGCAATCGAAAAACTTTACAGAACATTTGTTTTATCACAGTAACGCAAAATGCTTAAATATTTGGGATTTGCATAGATCTTATCTCATTATTTCGTGTCCCACAGTATACATCTATGCCTCTATCTAGCGAATTTTTCACTGATGATAAAATTTTCCTCTCATCCTTTTTATTGCAGGATCCCTCGGTTCGCGAACACTTCACCACAGGCATGCTGGATGAGCATTATATACGCACCAACCAGCGTTTCATTGATTTCATGACCCTACAACTACGCACACTCGCCGATGTAGTGGCTAAGTGGCCAGGATATGAGTCTATTGCTGTTAAATTGCATCGCCACTGCGATGATATCAAAGAAAACCTCGTGGCGACAGGACAACGGAATCCTGGCGAGCTGACTGTGTTAA